GCTTGGGCTGCTAAGCTATCTCCCCAGCCTTTTTTTTTTTTTTTTTAATTAATATTTACTCCTAATTTTAGGAGCATTCTATTTGGTGAACTTGCTGGCCAAATCGTATTTTACTAGGAATGAGCTCTGTACATTTCCACATTGCCCATTTCCTGTGAAGGAAGGAAAGCACATTTGTGGCCGCCGAGGGGCCATCCTGCCACCCAGAGGACCCTGGACTTCTGGTGACTTTCCGTGCCTTCCTTACGTCTCGGGGATCCTCCTCCCAACTCCTCATTTAGTTCACATCAAATCATTTCTAAGGAGCAGATGCTTCTGAATTCTCCAGCAGAATATGATAAGTGATTATTAACTACAGAGGCACTGCTGCGGAATTCTTGCCTCCCAAGTGTAACTTATAAATAGCAAGGGCCTCCCTGAAGGTAATAACCAGCATTTCCTTAATGAAAAGCCAATATTTCAGCAAAAGATTGCTGCATTTCTACAGCAACTGCTCTGTTCAGCTGAACAATGAAAGCTGAAATATCTGTGTGATTAAAGCTTTTAATTAAACCGTGTTCTCTCTGGGTGTTTACACATCAAGCCTGTCTCTCGTTTGCCTCTCAGCGGAGCAGTATCTCAGCAGCAGCAATTACATGGACTGCATCTCCTCACTGACGGGAAGCAATGGCTGTAACTTGAACAGCTCTTTCAAGGGCTCGGATCTCCCGGAGCTCTTCAGCAAGCTCGGCCTGGGCAAATACACAGACGTCTTCCAGCAACAAGAGGTCAGCTGGTACTTTCCCTGGTGTCTTTGTTTTTGCTGTACATATGCTGACCTCTGGAAGGAGGTCACTCTCTGACGGATGAATGTGCTTTGATGGAACATTTACTTGGGTTGTGTGCCTTGTTTTTGCTGTTAAGAAAAATGTCATTTCTTATGTGGCACAATTAGTGCACATAGGGCAGCAGATGTATAGACTGTCATGCTTACAGAAATGCACCGGAGCCGGCCTTCACCGCCATCAGATGGTGTGCTCACTTGTGGACCTTCTGGGGTCACAGCAGCCCTCGGTCCAGTGTCAACTCGGAGGGTTTTGTGCTTGAGTCTGTTTTGCTAAGGACACTTAAAAGTGAGTAGCACCAGATGAAATAGGTGTCTGTGGCTGCTTTTGACCCTCCTGGCCACACTGTGAGATCTGTTCTCACAAAATGTATTTTAATACCTTCATTCATGAATTGACAGTCTGAGCTTTTCTTGAACAGAAACAGAGCTGAGCTGTCTTGGGCCCCAGAGTGCATGAATGTTGGTCCCATGGGCTAGCTACAGCCCTGTATCCCCCAGCAGGCACAGAAGGCCCTCAGCACGCTGCTGACAGTGCTGCCCACTACCGGGGTGTGGCTAGCCCAAAGCGTCAGAATGGTAGAAGGCTTCAGAAATTCATATTTTTCAAGTCAAGTCTTAGTTCAGATTTGGTGCTAGTTGATTGAAATTCATGTGAGAGAACATCTGATTAAGTCAGTTATTTTAGATCGTATATCAGTCAACAAAGAATTGAAGACTTTTATTAGATGTTTTGTATCATAAGTTCAATGTATTGCCTATGGCTTAATGAATGAGTAAGTTTAATTGCTGAATAGTTGTGTTTGTGACACTGAAGGAAGATTGCTGTATGAATATTGGATTTAAGGCAATCGATGTCATTCTCTTTGCTCCACTAGCCATGGACTTTCTAAGCTGAATTACCTTTCCATCCACACACATTAAAGCACCATCTCCATTATCTCTGTCCTGCTGTTTAGATGCAGATCGCTGACTGAGGCACAGAGACCAAATGTGGAGCTAACTTCTTCAGCCACAAAGAAAGCCTTCCTTGCTAATCTGTATTTCCTATTCAAAGACACACAGAAGTACATTTGTCATTGGTGCTTCTAACCTTGTTACTCCAAGAAGAAAGAAAACATGGGACTCTACAGCCACTGGCTTTCTTTAATACTTTATTAACTAGGGCATGAGTTAGGAAACGGTGGCCTGCAGACCTGCTGCTTGACTTTGTCAGTAAAACTTTATTTGAACACAGCCATGCTCCTTTGCTTATTGTCTGTGGCTGCTTTCAAGTGGTAGCAGCACAGCAGTGCCCATGTGGCCTGTGAAGCCTGGAACACAACTACATGGCCCTTGAGAAGGAAGTTGGGGGAATTTAGTGTCCATTGAGTAGAATTTCTAAGAATATATCTCTCGAACTGTGGTAAAAGCTGGCTTTAGAGTTTTATAAGATCTAGATGTAATGTCAGATTGACAGAAAATTTCAAATTATGTTTAGTGCAATTTAATGCAAAGTACTTTTTTACTTGTATATGGTGCATTGGAATTTGGTTTGTGATCTGCTTCCCCTTCATAGTAGCCCCATTCTGTAACCTCATTGGTGTTATGAAGATTCACTTAGTAACCTTCACAGCCAGACTGTGTATATTATTACTAACCATAGCTGCCAATTATTTAACCCCTTTGGTAAGCCTGTTAGTGTGCTTTACATCTGTAGTCATATTAAGTGTTTATAAGAGCCCTACGTGGTAGGCATGCCCCCGACTTACAAGTATTTGGGTGGTGAACTTTCACAGGTCTGAGAGTACTCACTTCGTTGGCTTAGGAATGAGTCCAAGTTATGAACAATTCTCCTGGAATGGAACTCGTTCTGCTTCCCAGCGGAAACACCAACACGACCCCCAGGATTTGGAGGCAGATCTGTTTAATGTTTGGATGGGCACTGGCAAACCTTACAGAAGTGTCAGGCCTCAGAGGCCTGGGGAAGGAGGTTTTTATGGGGTTGCCGAGGGAAAGTACAGACGCAGAGTACTTGGCAGTCTGTGCTTGGCTCTTACAGCATGCATCACAGTGACCTGCCATTTCTAAGAAATACAAGTAAGAGGAACTGTTTTAGGAACAACTAACAGAAGCAGACATGTGCTGGTCAGGGAGGGTGCATCTTCTGCTGCAGTGGATAAGTTTGGGATTTTCTGTGCAGTATTTTTCTTTTCTTTTCTTTTCTTTTCTTTTCTTTTCTTTTCTTTCTTTCTTTTTTTGTAGTACCAGGATCGAACTCAGAACCTTGTGCTTGTCAGGCAAGCACTTATTCCACTGAGCTATCTCCCTAGCCCCTCTGTCCAGTATTTTTAATCCTACATGTCCCTGACTGACAGTGACAGAATTGAGGTCTGAATCCAAGTCTAACTTAAGTCTGCTGCCATTCTAGTCAGCCACGTTGTCTTCAAAGGAAAAACAAGGCCCCTAGCTATTTCCCTCCATCCTTTGCTGCTGATGCCATAGAATATAATTACAGTATAATGCAAGTACTCTTTTGGTACTACTTTCAGTAGTCTCTGGACTATGGTCTGCTGGGCTGCACCAAGTGAAACCATCGATCTGACACAGTTTGCAAGTCCTTGTCTCAGTGCCATGCACAGCGCAGTGAAGACACCATCTGTTGTATTACCTAGATGCTTCTTGAAAGATACACTGGACAAATTTAGAACTTAAATCTAAGAGCTCTTTTCCTTTTTCCTGTGCAAGTACATACTCTTCCTTGTATCAGTTCACAAAAGTAGCGTAACATTTGCGTTTCCTTTTTGTCAAGCCTGCTGGGATCAGAACTAAACTTCTGTCTCAGTTTGCGGTAAATTACGGGTTGGAGTATGAGTGCTTGGGCAGTCCCTGTCCCTTCACTCTCTTCCAGTTCATGAGACCGCCGTTAGCTTTTAAGGGCAGGCAACACACAGGTATAAATGCATATGCGACGCAGCTGTCTTACAATGGTGAAGAAGGTAAGAGCTTGACGTGCTGGCTGTGGGTTCTTTCTGCCTGCAGATCGACCTTCAGACGTTCCTCACTCTCACAGACCAGGATCTGAAGGAGCTGGGCATTGCCACTTTTGGTGCCAGAAGGAAAATGCTGCTTGCCATCTCAGGTGAACATAATTTAAGATCTGAAACACATCTGCCAGGGCCTCCTCCTAGGGGAGGGGGGGGCTTCCCATCTGCACTTGCTTTTCTTCTAATACATCGCTGCTGGTGGTTTCAAGGGCTGCTGTGCCAACCGTGTGCCCAGTGCCGAGAATGCTTGAAGCAGATCTCTTCAGAAAACTAGACCCAGAATTGTTCTATACAGAACATCACAGGGAGAAGAAAGTTCACTTTTCCTTTTGGGCTTGGCTCTAAGTGGGAATCATTGTGTTCGTGAATAAATATTCTTGATTGAATGTCAGTTTTAAGTGTATGTGTCTGTGCACATCGACTGAGATCATGAATTTGAACAAAAAGTACCACACTTTGGTATAGATAGGAGCCTGGTAGTATTATTTATTTGTTTTAATGCTGTTAATAGAATTCATGAGTCATCAAAAGGATACAGTATCCTGAAAGTAGTTACAGAATGAAGGAAAACAATAGTGTTTTCTGTTTTTGCAAAACACCCACTTTGTGTGTCTGTTCCATAATCTATGAATTAGAATAAGCTCCATCTGTATTTTTTAGGTGATGCTCACTTGAAAGGAATTGGGCCGGTGATGAGCCAGGAACTGGCAGATATATAGTTAATATACCTCAAAAATGTGTTAGAGAAATACGAGGAAGAAATAATAGGGGGTTAATTTTTGAAGACTTTGAACTAAGGTTCTTCAATGCCCAATTTATATATGTGCCATTCCCTCAAAAAGACAGATGCAGTCAGAACAGACGCCAGGTGTCACACACAATACTGTGAGAAACTGACTTAGCTGCTTGTGAGCATTGACTCTGCTGGCTTTCTCTGCTATGACGACAGAGATGTAGCCAGCTGGTGGAAGTCGAGTCCAGACAGCATTCACTAATGAAGGTGGCAAATAAATTTAAAACTTCAGTGGTTTTCCATTTTACTTAGTAGGGAATTGCATACAAAATCCTCATCTAAAGTAGACTGAGGCAAAGTAGCTTTTAAAGAGGGGTGAAAATCCCATGGGTGAGCTTTCTGGTGGTGGCTGTTATGCTTCACTGTGAATAGAGCTCTGGCCACATCATTTTAGAAATCTACTACCCAAGGTGTGCCACAGAGACTGCACTAGTAGCACTCTCTACGTAGGGGTCCAATCCCTGTTAGCTCAGAAGTTAGCTTTGATGTAGTGAAGAGAACACTGAATTCAAACAGGAGACCTGGGCTTTCCCCTCTGCCCTGTCCTGAGATCTAGGGTAAGTTTCCAATCCTCTTTTGGTTTCATGAAAGTAGATTGGGCCAGAAGATCGTGTAAGGTCACCTCCTTTTCTAAGTCCTTTCATGTCACCTGTCATCTGGCTTGATGGGCATATTGAGCAGTTTCAACAGTGTATGTTACTAGCAGGATATTACTTTGCTCTTTCTTTTTTACCTTCTGCAATAAGAGTTAGTTTTTCAACTTGCTTACCCTGGAGCTTATCTCCACAAGCTATTCTATGACTCAAATTAACTTTATATACTTTTGCATTGTTTTATGGACTTACAAATGAAGTTGACACACTACTTGAACTCATGTATTCATTACACCTACACAATTGAAATGTGCTGGTAGGCCCACATCTTGTACCAGCAGTCTATAAGCAGTCTCTAGAGATTTGTGGAATAGCAGTGACACTATAAGAACTAAATTCTTTATGTGCACCCCACCTCCAGACTCTCTAGAGCTTGTAGACTCAAGCAGTTATCACTAAATACTGTCATGGGCTGCAGATGAATCATTGACCGCTTTTCTCTGGAATATAGCCGTTCCATTCACTCTGGGTTCAGGCGAGTAGAGCAGCGATCAGAATTCTTGCTTTAAAGGTTTTTTCTAATCCTCTGGCATGTATCCTTGGAGGTTATGTTCTTCTTCTTAGAATTCCTCTCAGTGGGGTTCAGTTCTATTGCTCTTAAAGGGAACTACAGATGTAGAATAAGATGCCTTATGAATGCTTTGCACAGTATGGAATATTTGATTATTTTAAGGATGATTTTGCCTTTGTTGACTGCTATTGTTCGGACCTGGTAAATTGTTTTCTCTACAAGTAATAAGTTGTTATTGAGAAACCATTCATCAAAACGCTTCTTCCTCCAATTCAAGCTCCTGATAACAAAGACATCTATTTACAGTCTCAGAACATTCCATTTCCAGACAGACACAGGCAGCCAGGCAGCTCTGGCACGCATTGGCCTCGTGCTTACACAGTTCCGTTACCTTCTGAGTTTGCTCAAAAGTCCTTTTAAAATTTTATATATTTTTAAAAATGTATCATCAGATCTACTCAGTATGAGATTTTATTTTGTCTGGGGCCAGAAGACATGTATTCAGATGTTATAGGAGATGAAATTTATTTCTAGTAGAGATGGATCAAAGAATACATTTGATTTTTTTCAAATTCATGATTTTTTTAAATTCAGAGATTTCTCTCAGAGTAGTTTAGTGATTGATTTGACTGGCTGTACCCAGACTCACTGAAAGGAAGGTTAGTGTCCTGTAGACGCGCTTCCTGCCCCAGCCACAGGTAGATCTAACATTTCCCGACCTATTCTTTTAGTTTGTGACTCTGTTCAGATCCGCAACAAGATCCTGAGAGCTGCCAGGATTGTGTGAACCTTGGGATTTCAAAGAAAAAGGTTGGTATGATCCCAAATATTCCTTAGGCTTACTGAGAAAAAAATCAGAGGAGGAAGTTTGCTTTCTAATTTAAGACAACAAAACCTCTAAAGTCTCTTCAGTAGGCGAACTTGACTTTTGATAGCCTCCCTGGAAGATGTCATCACCACTTCACATTTGTGAAAAACATCCACAGACGTGCATCTTCAGGGAATGATCGGATTCCCTCAAGCCCGTTATCTGCTCTCAGAGATGTAGCTAATGTAATTTTTCAGGAAAAAGTTTTCAACATTTATTTTTAAAAATTGTCTTCACTGGCCCAGTTTCATGTGCTCTGTGGCACGTGTTCAGGTGCTAGGGAAGGGCGTTGCGCCGCCTGGCACCCTGCGCCTCTCTCACGAGGGCACTCCTTCCTGTTGGCAGGCTGCTTCTCCATGAAAGCAGCGCCCAGAGGTGGCCTCCACGCTTGAGTGTAATGCACCAGGCAGTCCACCTAGGGGATTGGTTCATTCGCCATGTTCCTGTAAGCGTGCTTGATTCCATCCTGATCTCCAAAAATGTCACATGTTGTGTTCATGAGTCTTCTGGATGCTGACTCGTGCCGACGGCACATGGTCACGGGTCCAACTGGACAGCCCCACGTGTGCTTTAATTTCACAGGATGCATATGCTCAACTTCTAGTATAAATTTCTTTGCTGCTGTGATTATGCAGAAAGCTGAAACAGTAGCTGTCAAATATGCATGCCCGCATGTGTCATTTGTTTGTGGAGCTTGCCAGCTTTTTAATTTAAGAATTAACTTTGGTACACTAAAATACAAAGCAAGGCTCTGTACCAGGCATACCTACAACTCCCCGTGTCTAAGTTTGTGTGCCTGATGCCTCGGTTGATCTTTATCCAAGGGCCACTGACCTTTCCATCAGAGATCCGAGGTGTCACCATTTAATGGATAGGTGACATCAACTACTTTCAAAGTCATATTTCTTATGTTAAGATGAAAATTATAGTTATTCTTTAGATAGAATTCAAATAGGACAAAATAAAGGTAAAGTGCTTGTCATATAATGTCATTAATCTTTCTTCCAAAAACTGTATGTGAACTGAAGAGAATTATTTTTATTGTTGCTTTGACCCGTACAAGGCAGGCATATACATTTTGAAAGCGAGTGGGGTGAAATATTAAGGGTGTTGGCCCACATTGCAGAGTGAAGGGGTCAGGGGCATCTCGGGCCCTATGTCCATTCTCATCTACTTTGACAGCCTAGTTTGTTCTCATTCTTAGCATTACTGTAGCTCCACATTCTTTATAGGGCAACCTCAGAATTCACAAATGCATTGTACATGTGGTTGAACAATTGAGCCCCATTGCAATATAAATGTAACGTCAGGTGACTTGCTGCAGTTTACCTGAAGTGAAACAGAAAGGATAACTTTAAATGATCTATTTGAAATTGAATAAGTCTTAAGATACTTGCTTTTGGTGGTTACCAGAAGCTATAATCCCCATAGTATGACTCCTCCTTATAGAGAGTTACGTTAGTGGTTCCAGGGTCATTTGAGGGGGGATATGTAGTCATAAACAAGGTTGTCTGTGTAGGTTAACTTTTTACCTTCATAGTTAATAATTTTTACGTGGCAGTAGACAAACTAAGGAGTGTTTCTAAGAATTCTAGTTCCTTCAAAATGGCAGTAGAGCATTGTAGTTTTCTGAAAATTTGGATACAAATTTTGGTTGTTTTCAAGTACGTATTTTCTAAACTGCTGTGATTTGTACTATGTGAATTTTTTCATACTATGTTCAATTTTTATTCAAACAAACCTTCTACTTCTTCCCCTATTTGTGATTCAGGAGGCATAGATTTAATGACTTGGGAGAGCCATGAGGGCCAATTTAATGCTTAATGCTTCAGTGTTCTTCTTCTCCATTACCTCATGTGTAGGTACAGGGCGTCTTTCACATCTGACTTCAATAACTTAATGGCTGCTGTGTTTGCTATAAATGAGTTAGGAAGTATTCGAATTTTCTGTGTCCTCTCTTATACTCATTACTGGCCTTGATTGTCCCTCTGCCCTAGGAGTAACCTTTGGCATAGCTCAAATGGTTTAACATGGTTAGAAGCCTCTGAAGATGATCTAGCCCCCAGAGAGTTCTGTAACCACCATAAAACCTATTTGTTGTCCTTGGTTTTATAAGCTACCAATATGCTACTTCTGACATCAGACTTTCTAGTATGCCTTCACCATTAACTCAGAATTTTCCTTTTGCTACCAGACTTGACATTCCCCCAAAAAACTTACTGCATCACTATTTTATGAGCTAAAATGCTATGTCCTGTAGCATATAGAACTTTTCTGTTGTGCTACTAACATTTCTCTCTTGCTCTTTCTCTCCAGAACTAAATAAAAACCGAAGAAAGCTTTTCGAACCACCAAATGCACGTGCCTCTTTCCTGGAAGGTGGAGTGAGCGGGAGGCTTCCCCGCCAGTATCACTCAGACATTGCCAGCGTCAGTGGGCGCTGGTAACAGGGCCCTCCAGGCACACGGCCACCTCTGATCACCGCCACCGTCCGCGGCACTCCAGGGTCTGTACTGGGACCAACGCATCTGCTCACGTCTGCGCTCTGTGGGGGAAGGATGGCAGCCGAGAAGACGCTCCCTGCACTGCTGCACAGAGTGCTGCTTGTGGATTACTTTTTAAAATGGCATTTGGACAGAATTTACAGTACAAGCATAGGGCTTTATTTCTTTTTAAAAACCTATATAACATATGCACTGATTTTTATTTTATTTTTTTTTCACTGAAAATGAAGGATAAATTAACATCTGGGATGCCAGAAAACGTAGAAGTTGTTTTTTGGTTTGTTTTTTTTGGTATTGGGGAATACAAAAAAATAATAATAATCAACATGGAATTTCTGGTACTGCTTTATAAGAATTATGGAGGTCTCTCAGCACTTTACATGTTCTGATTCTTGTCCTGTGGAGGTTCTCTTTTTCTCTTCTTCTTTCTTTCCATTTCATATCGGTACAGTTCAGATTTGTTCACATTTTTCTGGCTAAGTCCAGCCTCTTTTTGACATGGTACTGGATACTAGATTCTCTGCAGACTGCCCTGTGACTTCGGGAAATGTGCGTGCACTCGGTGACGACCGGTTCTCGGCATTCGCGTCAGCATCCTAGGGACACTCACGGTGAGCCGCGCTCACGGTGCCAGGTGCAAGACAGACCAGACGGAGTTTGCAATATTAACCCTTTGCAGGCATCATATTTAGCTGCTGCCTATATCGCTGAAGTGATTTTAATGGTTGTTTGAAGGCAAAGGGCTGTTTTTATTTAGTATACTGCCACTAAAGGACATTTATTTATATCAAACTTTTATTTTTAGATATTATAAGCATACAGTACATAATTGATGAAATTGATATGCTAGAGATTTATGGTAGAGAATGGATGGCATTTAATAACTGGAGCCCTAGATTGTCACTTTATTTAAGAAGATAAATAACCATCTGACAAGACAGCACTGTTGCCATCTTGAAAAGGAAAACATTATGTCCTTACGGTGTACACATTCACTGTGCTCCGTGTGGGCACAGGACTTTCTGAAATTGCTTCCTGTAGGATTGAGAACAGAAAGGCTATGTAAGTCTCCAGGGTGACAGTTTTTATATAAAGATAGCTGAATTCTGAAGGGAAAAGCGAGACCATTTTCTAAGTGGCTGGATTTATTATTACAATCATACTGTGAAAGTACAAGAAATCAGGCAACATCGTCTCCTGAGTCTCTTCAGATATCTTATTGTGGATTTATGAAGGTTTTCGGTCAGTGAAGAAAATCACCAAAATGTCTTTCTTTATTCAAAGTAATAATATTATTTCCAAGTATATTAAATTGCTGGAAAGTTTTCCCATAGGAAATGTTCTCAATTACCTGTAATGGCTTATTTATATTTAGTATCCAAGACTTTCTTTGTCGACATAAACCACTGTCACGTGCTCTTCATAGAAGGCATTAGATAAACTTACAGACATTGGGAACGTACACAGTAAGAGCAAGAATTGAAGATGTATTTTGCACATAGAACAAATGTTCACTTTAAAAAATGAACCTTGGTCACCTTGAAGGCGTAGACGATGCACCTATGTAACATGAGCTCAATCTCATCTGCCTTGGAGCGTAGAACCCAATCGCTCCCTGGGCGCGTGGAGTGCCGCCTTCCTGTGCGCGTGCACAGGCGCTCCCCAGGCGCTGGCTGGACGGTGCGGGAAAGCGCGGCGCTGAGCGCTCCCCGGAGCGTGGTAGCTCCAGCTTGGTTTCCTGCTCAGCAACTCGATTTTGAAATTTGTTTATTCCCTAAGACCTCCCCAAAGTAAGAAATAACCATTTGGAGCTCTTCACCTTTCTGCTGTGCCTTTACAAATAAGAGGAAGATAGGATGAACATGCAGTATTAAATCAATACACATTTTATGAAGTGTGTTCTTATGCCAAAGGGAAAACTGTCCCACTTAAAATAGGTAAAATAGGGTGGTTAAAAATAAATAAAAACACTGGAAGCTATTTTTCTCACTTTCTCTTGAATAAAGGGATTATGACACTATACCAAGTTGTCAGTGTTACACGATGCACAGAATATTTGGATTATTTGAATAAATGTTAGCTTTTAATCAATCTGCGCCTTAATAGTGACTGGTTATCTGTAAATAGAGAACAGATATAGATTGTATTTTTGTGTGGGTTTTTGTCCTTTTAGTGACTTTTTTTTAAAAAAAATGACAGATGGAATTCACGTTGAAAATGAGAATTTTTTAATCAATTGTTACATGAGAAATAAATTTATATAATCCCTTTGTATTGTTCTTACTAGATTAAATGTCTTTTTAAAAAATCTGTATGGAAATTCATGCTCATCTTTCTCTTTTAAGAAAATGATTTTTTTCTTGCTATTTTCAGCAGCACCATTTGTGGTACAAGTGAATGTACGTTTCCTCGCTTTTCACACTGACTCAGCTCCAGCAGCAAAGGCGCTTGCGTGAGCTAGTGAGTCCGGGCCAGCAGTCAGTCATCATTCCTGTGGCCAGCCCTAGGCACAGCCAGGAGTGGCACCGTAGGACAGGCTTTACTCTTGTCACCTTCCATATGAGCCCTCTTGGCCACCCTCAGTGTCAGCAGAGGCGCTCCATACTGAACTCGTTCCGGGACTGCTGACCCTTGTTCCCACCTGAGAGAGGACTGCTGTGCTGTCTGTCATACTGAGGGCTGACCTGCCATCTACTGAGATTCTGATTGGACTCCTGCTTAGAATGAAGTTGGTACATTTCTGAAATTTGGCTAAATCTTCAATGCTAACCCTCTAGGAACATCTCCACTTGAATTATTTGTGCCCGTGGTTCTTAAAGATTGTTTCTAGAACTATTTCTTTGTATAATTGAAATCTCCTCTGTGATCCACTGAAAAATTACTTGTCCAGGCATTCGGTGCTGTGCATGATTGCGGATAGGTGGCTAGAGATGCCAGTGCCGGGTCCTGCTGTGGCTAGTGGTGCCCAAACAAGCCCCTGCCCCCTTGATCTGACCTTCTAAACAGGGAGGTGGAGCAGCTGAGGAAGGGTTGGAGAATGGAATAGCCTCGCCCTTCAACAGAGCCGTTTACACTCCATCTTCGGGGCATTGTAGAGGCCAAGTCCATCACGTGGAAATAGGCCTGTGCTTTGAAAGGCAAAATCTTCCTTCCACCACCCTCTCTTTTTTTGGTGGGTTCTATAAATGTAATTGCATTCTCAAAAGGGATGAACGTGTGGTCAGAGGTTTATGTTACTATGCTTTGTGGTTGTACTCTTCAGTGGTAATGGCAGGCACCCTAACTTCTTAGATTGGACTCCGTCACAGTGCAGTTTTAGAAATCAGTTTCAACAGTTTGCCATCAGTGTAGACACTCCAAGGGCACTAACACTTAGAAGTGTGTTCCACATGGAGACCTCCACAAGGTTCTCTGCAGCGCGCTAAATAGAGTCTCCTCAGTGATGGTTCCTATGGGAACTTCACGCTCCTTTGTGTCCTTATGAATTCAAATGTGTTAAAGTATAATTTAATCTAATTTTATAATGAGCTGATATTTATTAAATGTATCCTATGAGCTGAGTCACCACTGGGAGCCACAATTCGATATTCCTGTCCCAAGTAGGGTAGCTTCGTCTCCTTTCCTCAGGCTTGGGTAACTTGAGGTGATCTGGCTGACAGGAGAAGAGGCTGGGCTTTGTAGTTGCGTAAGCATGGAGTTAGAGGGGGCCTCCAGACCTTGGGAAACTTACTCTTTCTCTGAATGGGCATCTATGAAATGGAAATAACACCCCTCTTCATGAGTTGTTGGAAGAGTTCAGCTGCCGGGGTATCTAGGGCTTGTGGTGGGCTGGCATCTGTCATTATCCCAGCTCTGTTCTCTCTTCACTGTGTTTCCCTGCCTATGTGGGTCTTTCCTGTGTTCATCTGACTTCTGTGTCAGAAGGGGAAAGCCCACTTCATCTGTGAGAATGTTAGGAAGAAGACCCAGAAACTGCAGTCCTAGGCCCGCATCTCCTGACCCGTAAAGTTGGAGTCACAACACTATCCCAAACAAAAAGAACAGAGGCCTCAAACTGCATAGAAATCTTCACTTGGTCGGTTTACATTTCAGTTTTAAAAAAATCTCTTGCACAATTATATTGACAACTGGGCTCTTCATGTGGGTGGGATTCATAGCTCCTACTAGTCATATGTGTTGTCCCTAATTTTACTATGCCATGGAATTCTCATTTTCAGCTGGCACGACACCCGCGTCATCTCCACTGACTGCACAGTCCCTCTCACATGTTCCTTTCTGCCCATCTCCACCTCCAATTTAATATTAATTCCCTTTGTGTGCATGAATAAGCTTTTGTTTTTTGAAAACAGCTGTTTGCCTATGTGTGTGCTAAGTTTAACCATTTTCCACTTTAAAAATTGAATAGACTTAGATAATGTTTGACTTTTTACTGACATGGCCAGAGCACTTCAAAGACACTTCATCAGGGGATTTCACATTTTTGTTGCTTTTTAAATACTTTGACTCATTCTGAAGTGAGGCAAATAAAGCTTCAAGTTCCCTTTCTCAAGGGTTAGGCTGTGAATGTGATTTGGAACAGATTTTGAGAACTGGAGTCTGAATCTGACTTTGGAGGCAGAATTTGAGTGTGGGAAACAGAACCTTTAGGAAAAAATTACAGTAACTGAAATGATTCAGCTTCATAATGTGTTTGGATGGATCACAAGAAAAAAAAAAAAAAGGAGTCTTGACAGTTGAGTATGTGCAGCCCCCCTTTTTTAAGACCAAAGAAAACAACTGACTCTGAACTCACTGTCTCCAGTGCTGCTTAATCCTTTACAGAGGGGCTATGGGACTTGGACTAGAAAAGCATCTAGGAAGTAGTTTATAATCAAACAAAACTTTCACCCGAGCACAAATGACCATCTAAATCACTGATGCAGCTTGCGTTGAAGTTGCCATGGATAAAGTTTTCAGTTTTGTAAGTTTGGTGAAGGGGTGGGTGACATTTCCTCAGTCTTTTCCTCTTTGCCAGAATTATAAAATGACACTCAGAACAGGCAAATGAAGTAGCTCTGTATAAATTCTTCATATGACTTGAAAAATGTACATGGTGAAAAGCTATACTGCCTTTCTTTTCTTTTGATACTGGGAATTGAACTCAGAACCTTGTGCTTGCCAGGTAGGCCCTGTGTAGCTGAGCTATGTCCCCAGGCCTAGGCTACCTTTTATTTCACAAATTCGATTTGAATTCCTAAGAAGAGAAAATTCCATCTTGGACTTTATGTACTTAAAATCCTTCACTGCATAGTGAGACCCTGTACTGAATACCTAAAAAATAAATAAATACATAATTTTAAACACACATAAAACTACCTTACCTTTTCCCAATAGGAAACTGACCGTGGGGGTGGAGAAGTTACAGCTTTGCCTGTCGTATAATAAACTTTAAAGCAGGTGCCCCAGTACAATGAGGGTGGACTTTTAGTGGACTGAAAAGTATCAGAGAACTTAGAAATGAGTTACAAAACAACACCATAGAATGTTAAGGATATTGTATGCCTCTTCCTACTTTGTACTGAACTCAGTACTTCCTCAGTCCTGCTATATTTTATTTTGAGACAGGGCCTCCCTGAATTGCCCAGGTTGAGCTTTAATTTACAACCTTCTTGTTTCGGCTTGCCAGATTACTGGGATTATTGGCATACACCAGTTTAATGGTTTTTTTTTTTTTTTTTTAGACAGTTGAAGGTAAGCAACGCAAAACTGGCTGCTCATCTCACGCCAGATGTGAAAAGCCAAGCTTTTGCCGTTACATTTTTTGCAGACCAATTAATATATGTAAAACATAGTCTATGTAGTATAGTTTCTAGAGTAGTTTCTAAGTACTTATTCTCACTGTATGTGCCACAGACAGGAAACAAATGTTTCTTGAAATTACATCTGTCCACCACCCAGTCTCAAGAAAGGATTGAATTACACAGTTTTTCCTAATGGAAGATGTATTCAGAAATGTAATAGTCCAGTGTCAGGATCACCCGTGTCTCACCAGCCACGCTCACACGGGAGCGCTGGATCCACGCGAGCATCTCTGAGATGAAGCAAGAACGCGTCTCGGCGTGGTGGGTGTGAGCGGGCTTCCAGGTTGACTGGGGGTTTTGCCAGCCCTGGGGCTGCCGGGACAGCTCCCGTGTGCTTAATTTACAAAGCTCTTCCTCTGCTGCTTTTCCATCCTGCTTCCTTCCACTTACTTATGTGTTCCCACTACAGAGGGAGCACAGTCTCTCCTCTAGTCACTGGGAGTTTGTCGTGTGTGGCAGCACCGCTAGGATCTGGTGCGCTGTGGAAGTGGAAACTGTCTCCTCCGATATCCTCCTCTGAGACGGTGACTTGCAGGGTCCAGCGCAGAGGCCGGAAGGATGCCGAGTGTCACCCCAGCGCTCTGCAGGCCGCCTCTGCCATTTTCACCCTTGCAAGGCTAACCCGGACTGCTTCATCTGAAGCCCTTCTAGTGGATATTAGGACGTCACCTCCACGGCACTCTCGTGGAAATTTATTGCAACGGTCCCATTCAATATTCACAGCACACAACGATAAAGATACATTTTTATCAGCACGAAGGAAAACCGCATCCCCAGCAGCCGCCACCCCAGCCTACAGCCTAGGCAAGCAGCTG